TAAATTTTTATTAAATTACTTAAAAACTTCGCTTTTGCTACCGCAGCAGACCAAACCCATATTGTGTGGTACAGAGAAAAACTTAAAAAAAAAACAAAAAATTAGCAAATATATCAGTGCTTACTTGGACTACTGACTTAGACTACTGGCCGTCAATATTACAAGTGATTTTATGTTTTTATAATTTAAAATACCAAAATTCTTATATATAAGATCTATCAACAGTAATAAAAACTTGCTTCATTTTCTTCAAATCAATCCGATTAGAAAACCTCGTATATTCGTTGTTTCAAATTTTTCCCTCACGCATAGACGGAAAAATCGGAAAAATTATGTTTTCCCACAAATGGCAAAATTTCTCCTTTTAAAAAAAATTTTATTTTTATTTTGAATACGCAAGCGTACAAAACTCGAATGAATTTATTATTTTTTTTGCCGGCAATTGCATCTAAATTTATGTGCCATATTCCGCTTTATGATGCGACTAATGCAGCGGCAATAGGACGGCCTGCGGCAATGGCCTACTAAGCCTGCAGCAAAAATATTGCACAATTATGTGCCTAACATCATCAACATCAGAAACATTAAAAGCAACTCGGACATAGACACAGAATTAGCTCTAAGATTGCTGGTGCCAAATGGCAATAGAAGCAGCAACAGCAATGCAATTCCAATTGTAATTGCAATATTTTAATTGTCAGCAACAAAAAAATGTAAAAATCTAATATCAAAAATATGAAAACTATGCGGTTTGAAGTATGAAAATTTGACCAAAAACAACGAATTCTTGAAGATCGTGAAAGATTATAGAAGATGTTCGCTTCAGGCTCTGTGAAGAAGAACAAGAGTTGTTGCGTATGTGTGTGTGTGCACACAGTTTCTTATATATTAGAAATTAATTTTATTATATTTAATTGAAAAACAATTTAGTTATTTCTTTAAATATTTTTTAAAAAATTTACCAATATTAATAATATTAGTAATATAATGTATAATATATATGACAACAAGTATTATTAAACCATCTTATTCAAGCGTAAACTATATCTGCAGAAAACTGCAAGAAATCTGCTGAAAACTATACCATACTCCACTGTCACTGATTCACTGATCACTGTTCACTGTTCTTCACTGATAATATATTAGATTAGAAAATCACTGTTCCTTTTAAAAAGCTGCCATGGAAAGAATCTGAACGCAAATAGGATATATTTTGCAAAGAGAGGGCAAGGTTTTAAAAATGGCTTTTTATGGAATATAGGTATGAGGTATACATGGGGGCGATCTATCATCAGTCATAGTTGTGAAGAACAAAGCAACATTATAAAGATTTGCTTCCGTTTTATGCTTTAAAAATGAGCGACAAAACAAATAATTACTGAATTTCAGATAAGATGACCTAATCGACGAATATAGACCCCTTATCGGTGATTAACAGCAATTTGTTCACGTAATGATATATGATATATGAAACATATAAATAATAAGAAATATATATCGTCACCAACTCATAGAGTTTATTTTATGAAGAAGTTTCCTTTCGATAGCTCTCAGTACTGCTTCAGATGGGGTCAATGCTTCTGCGTCATATAGTAACGTAGGTAAGAGGAGCAACTTACAGGTTGATCAGGCTTTGTAAGTTGCTGTCAAAAATTGAATTTTATATAAAAAATAAATATAGATTGAATTTAATGTCAGAAAGTTATTTATAATATAAAAATGAAAAATTTTGCGGATATATTATTTCTGTTTATGTAAATTATATTTTATAATAAATTTTTATTTTATTTTTTGCCGATTTATAAGATACAATTAATCAAAAATATTGCACAGATGTTGATATCCCTGAATTCAGGAACTCTATATCAAGTCGATATCATGACAATGGATGTAGTGCAAGAGAAGCATTAAGTAACAGAAAAAACCTGCTGTTCCATATATGAAGAAGACCTAAACAAAAGTATGGAAAAAATGATAGAAGAAATATCAAAGATTACTCCGCACATAAATGCTAACAACGTTGCAATAGGATTGAGCAGCAGAACTGCTCCAAAAGGTCAATTATTGGCAGCAACACAGCAACAATAGCAGCAGGTATAGCCGCAACAGCAAACAATCCACTTAGCTCAGCAAGTCAGCAATCAAGGGAACGTATGTATAAGTACCACACCAATCATCGTAGTTTAACTACAAGAAAGAGCAGGAACAGCAACAACAACTACAACTTAACCAACAATGAATGCAAGATTAACATTGCCTGCAACATCTACTGCCTGCAACGGCCACAACAGAAGCAACAGCAGAAACCAGGAAAAGCAACAGCAAATTTTTTAGTGGCGAAATTTTTCAATTTTTAGTAACAATTGCAGGAATTGCTGTTGCTGTTGTTGATGTTGTTGTTGTTGTTGTTGTTGTTGTTGCAGTTATATTTTGTTTTGGGGGCGAACACTTAAAATTCTATTTTGCACATGGCACAAAGTCTGCAATAAGTATCATCAGCAGTCGGTGCCGCACTTCACCAAAGTTCGGCTGCAACATCAGCGTCAACTTAAGTTCTGCGGAATATCGTAAGCGGCTCCCGTAAAGGACGCGAAAGCAAAGCCACGATGCGAGTGGTTGACGTGGAAGAAACGTGGTAATCACATGAGAGAGTCTTGAAAAGTATACAAAGCAGTCTTGCATTTACATATGTATACAACTAGTTAAGCATGTACAACATAAGTCAAGTGTCTATATAAGTAAATAGTTGTGTCGACTAGAGCATATGCGCTGCTTGGCCCATTAAGTGAGCATCTTCAAAAATACTAAATTCAGTTAATAAAAAAATGGTAAAAATTCAAAAAAAAACAAAAAAAAAGCAGGAATAAAATGTATAAAATAATAAAGCGAAAAGTTCTGAAGTTCAACGCTGATATATGGCTCCAGATAAACCGTTTTTATATTGCGCATAGCGGTTGTGGGGTACATGTGGGTTTGACCCGCCTGCCGCAAGCTGGCTGCCGCTGCTGCTTATACTCGTACCATTTTGCTCAGCGCTTAATGTTATATCTTTCAACTCCTTCAAGAGTCATGCTTGCGGTTATTGTTTGAAATATGTTACCTCCATTTTGTTAATGCCATTGTTATTGTTGTAGTTGTTGTTGTTGTTGTTGCTGTTGTTGTTGCTGTTGTTGTTGCTAAAGCAATGTTTTGCTATTTGGTTGTAGTCATTTTGCTAAAATGGCGAAAGTCGTAAAGTATCTACTAAAGACACCGAAAAAAGTAGGAAATTACTGCCTTGGTAAATGATGTATTCTGATGAGCAGCACATTATGCACTTCGCTCCGCTGATGAGCCATATTTACAAGCTCGTCTTGCTCACAATGTGTTCTGTTATGTTGGCTTCCTTGCAAACCGGGCTGGCTTGCCTTAATGGCTGAACTGGCGGGATTGCTTATTTTGGCATTTTCTTCAGTCGGTGACTGTAGTACGCAGTTTGTGTATATTTTTCATTATTTTCCTCCATTCATTTTAGGTTTCCATTACAATAACTACTGCTGTTGTGTGCTGTGCTGGTTTCTTTCTACGTATTTTTTGTTGCTGGCATATTTGCTATTTTTGGCTAATGATGTTGGCAGCAATGTCTATCAGTCATTTTCATGTACACTGGCTAAAATGGACATGAGTCACAGTTATTTCAACGACTGCATTTTTAGCATGTAAAAGGAGTGTTCAGCTTCAGCTTTAGCTTCAACTGGGACTGTGCTGCATCACAGCTTTTCACATGTGAGACCTGTGCAGATAGGCTTCCACATTCTTCTCTGTGAGTTTTACCTTTGAGATTGGCTGGTTCATTTGCAATTCACAAGCAAAACACGGCTTCCTGACAGCTGCTTAGCAATTTCAAACCGATAAAATATTTGCTTAAATGCGCTTCTAAATGCTCAAGCGATTATACACCGAAATGACCATTACCGCTGATTAGCTGTCAACTTTTCTGACAGTTTAACGAATTGACAAAGTTGTATGGAAAATCGACAACTGAGAAAGACTACGTTCGGTCAAATGTTAATGAGGACTCCTGATGCTTTGATGAACAAAATTACTAGCTGTACATCCATTCTAGTATGCATTGGCATAGCAATGTGGAAATCCACAATATTTAAATAATTGAATTATTTTAGTTTTTTAAAATTTATTTGTTTTTAATATTAAAAAAAAGATGCTTAAACTAAAAATAAAAATTATGGCATGGTAAACTATTGAAATGAGGATTAAATAATTATTATATACTGCGAATATAAATATTATATTTTAGATTTTAATTTTTTTGTCGAATGTGACATGTCTTATGAGGAAAAGAAACTAGAAGGGTTCGAACAGTAATGAAAAAATAACAACAAAAATCTTTTAATTGATTTAGTGAAATTTGACTGTTTCGAGTAATGCCAACCACTCATCATCACTGATCTTAGGAAATGTTTGAATTTTTATTTAATTAGTTTATAGTACGTATTAAAATTTTTATATAAAAATGTTATATCTTTATTACATAAGAAGAATGTTTTACTCTAAAGATAAATAAATTATGTATAATGTGAAATAAAAATATGATAAATAAATAATGAAATAAATAATTGAATTAAACCAAAAGTTAGCCAAATCAATGTCCTAAGCCTCAGCGCAATAAGAATGGATTTTGAAGTAAAATTTCTTAAATGGATTTGCTACTATTATTTCTTCTTTCTATTTCTGAGCAAACAGTAATCTCGATATGAAGACCTTCTTTGTCTTGTTCCTAATATCAATTCTAAATTCCTAACATCTAATTATATATATCCATATATCCGTATATCCACTTCCACACACACATATATCTGCCATATATATACTATACAGTATGAGATATATCTTCAACTTGCCTATATTAATAAAAAAATAATATTGAAAAAAAAATCAGTTGGCAATGAATTTGTTCAAATTGTATTTGTGTAATTCAAATAAAACATTTTTCATTTTCAATTTTATTTTCATAGATATGGTTACATTTTCTTTCCCTGCAAATATTTTTTATTTGTCAAAATTAAAGTAAAATTTTATTGCTTCAAAAATGCCGATTAATGGGAATAATATTATGAAGGCAATGAGGGAACTTAAAGCTCCTTCAACGGCGGAGCAAATTGCTCGCCACTTGGCTAGAGGAACGAAAAGGAAGTTCGATGTGCTGCTGCAAGAAGTGATAGTGAGTTTAGTCGGTGGCGTTAAATTTGGCTACATCGAATGTCATAACGGCCACTATTATAATATAAAGAACACAACCGAATTGTTTAATTTGCTTGAAAGTGAGGACTCAGGACAGTTTAAGCGGCCTCGTCCCATTGCAGAAACAAACAATCCAAGACAACGCAAAGGACGCCTTGCCAGAAAGCGTAAACACAACGAAATCAGCGATTGTGAATGTGAATCGAAACTTGAGACTGCAAAAGCTAAAATCGGTAAAATTATTGATGAACTTGCTGAAAGGGTGGAAGGAAAGAAGCCCAGTATTGGTCCTGATCAAAAACCAAAACCCACTGCAGAAGAACTAAATGAACATATCGATCAATCACGCAAGATGACTGACCGCATTTTTGAAAATAAATCACTGCATGGCTGTGATGTACTTCAGAACCCAGTTAAAGAACCCGCATTGGAAGTTCTTGATATTAACAGAGAATCAACCTTTTCAGCGTTAGAAGGCAGAACTAAATTTTTAGATGGGATAAATGTCGATCAGTTCTGTTATTTCAGTGATAATATTTTCCTGAATCAAAGTAATTCAGTGGCAACTGAATTAGATGTACAATCCGAAGCTTTTGATATTACGAACAAAACTCTTTATTCAGAGCCGAAGGAAATCACTAACTCTATTGATGAAACAAACACCAATAATCCGTATTACAATTTAACTGAAGAAGTTTTCTCAAGTCAAAGCCATTTGTCAATTGCAGGTGGCGAATTTTATAATTCAGTCACAGAATCGAAAGTACCATTAGAAGTTCATGGTGATGATGCTAAAAATGTATTTCTTGGAATAGCGCTCTTATATAAACTTATAAATGATGCGAATGCGAATATTTTAACAAATCAACGCTATATAACAAATGTTGAGCAGCAACCGGGAGCAGAATTGAATGAGCAATCGGAAGCGATTGATCTCGGTAATAAAACTCTTCATTCAGAGTCAGAGGTTTTCGGTAACTTTACAAACGGAGAAACTGTTAGTCAGTATTGCACTTTGACAGACTATATTATAACAGATCAGTGCCATTTAACAACTAGATCAGATATCGATCGGGAATCAGTAGTAGGATTGGAACAACAATTGGAAAATCCTGATCACATCACTTATCATCATGATGAGATTTATGCTTCAGTTAAGGAATCGGAAGTACCATTGAAAAGTCGTGATGATAATATTTATAAAAACTTGTTTCTTGGAGTGGCGTTCTTATGCAAACTTGTAAATGATGTAAATGACAATAATTTAACAAATCAAAGCTATATAGTAAATGTTAATCCGCAACCAGCAGCAGTGTGGAATGTGCAATCGGAAGCTATTGATCTTGGCAACGAAAGTCTTCATTCTGGGTTGGAGGTTTTCAGTAACTTTTTAAACGAAGAAACTGAAATGCAGAACTGTACTTTGACGGACGATTTTATCGCAAATGAAGTCCATTTATCAACTGCATCAGATATTGAACGAGAATCGATAGTAGAATTGGCAGATGAGTCGGAAAATTGTGGTCGTATCAATTTCCGTCTTGACGAATTTCCTGCTTCAGTTACGGAATACTCGGAAGTTCCAATGGAAAATCGTGATAATGTTAATAAAAACTTTTTTTTTGAATTAACAGAGTCGAACGTCGATCAGTTCCATCACTTGACTGACGAAAGCTTTACATATTTGAGTCACAAAGGAAATGTTAGTCCCCAATTGACAGCAGAGTCGGATGTGCAATTGGAAGTAAGTAACTTTGACAATAACAGTTTTCATTTAGGGATGGATGACTTCAGTAGTTTTATAAATGGATCAAACAACAATCAATACTGCACTTCAACTGACGATGTTTCTACAAGTCAAAGCTGTTTTCTAAGTTCAGGAGATGAATTTTATAATTCAGATGCAGAATCGAAATCACTGGAAATTCATGATAGTGACAGTAATACTCCATTTGATACATTAATGGTGTTAAGAACATTTCTTAGTGATTCGAATGATAATGCATTAATAACGCAGAGCGATACCTCAATCGATGACCTTCAACAGGTAGCAGATTCTGGTGTGCAGGAGCTAGCCAATGATAATGGTTATAAAATTCTTCACTTAGAGTTCGAGGACCGCAATGACTTTTTAAACGAAATAATGGTTAATCAGTGCGAAAATTTAGCTGACAATGATATCTTAAATCAAAGTCATTTACAACCAATGATAACAGCTGTCAATCGTGAACCGGTAACAGAGTTGAAGGAGTTTCCGGATCATCGTGATCACATCAATGATGCTCTGCAATCGGAGAAGGAATCTCTAGATAATTTTTCAAATGTAGCAAGTGATCAAGACAGCTGTGAGATAGATAGTGAATCTTTTCGTTTAGAGTTGATAATTCCAAAAAAGATTTTGAGCGCAGCTGAAGGCAATTTTCAAGCTAATGATAATGTTTTCAAGATTCGAAGTCACTTATCAAGTTCAAATATCCCAGATATAGAAACGGGGGTAACTTTGACAGTTCATGATAACGACATACAAACTTTAGATCTTGAATTGAATATACCAGAAACTTTCGTAAAGGAGACACGTAGCGCATATATCATTTCAGTAGTCGATTCGCCGGAAACTCAACTAAATGACGAGAAAGAAGGTTCTCCAGCTAAAAATGGAGAAAAATTGTGAAGAGCTGATTATTATATATTTATGGAAGAGCACTTAAAATTTAAAATATTGGTAGTATCGCAACTGCAAGAATAATTAAACAATTAAAGCGGGTAATAGAAATTAATATTAATAATTCAAAATTTTTACTCCTTTCCTTTTATTATCTATATTTTTGTTTTGCTTATTATTTGTTTAATACGTGCCCTATACGATGGTTCATTTATCAGGAGGAACAATTGAGTTAAAGATATACCTGCAAGGAAATATAAATAAGTCGTACGCTTCTGTTACCTGTTTTCCCATTCTGGTGTGAGCAATAATTTTTTCTTAAAATTTTCTAATTTTTCTATATATTTGTACATAAATTATTGAAAAAAATATAAATAAAATGAATTTAATCAGAGCTTACAACTAGAATTTTTACTTTTATTTTATAACCTAATTGAAGGAGTTGTCATAAAAAATCGAACGTTCTTTTTACGAAAAAAATTATAAAATTGCTCCATTTAATTATCATAGACGATAAATAACGATCACATTATCACACATATCGAACCCGCTGGATTAGATTTTCGAATCTGTATCTACTAGGAGAAATGGAAACCAAGAAAAATACTAGAAAAATCTAATTTTTTTTGCGTAATTAATATTAAAAATTAAGTTTTTTCTATTTAACGTTTAACTCAAAACTCTGCTATATAGTATATACCCTACGTATCTATATATATATTATTATTACATATTTTATTGAGATTAGTTTTTTATAAGAGTTTTGTTTTGTTTTTTATAAAATGATTATTGTTTCTTATTATTTTTGCAATTTTTATTATTCCTTATCTCTAACTTCATTTATAAGATTGTTTGCGTACTGATTCAGACCCGCACTTCTGGAGGGATTTTGGAGAGAATAGTGGATCGCCTATACTTTTGTCATTGAACATTCAGTCATGTTATAATCTTTAATAGTAAATAAACATACTAATACATTTAATAGTATTATAAATATAGTAATACATTAGACAGGTTATCACTCGGTTCATTTTAACGGAGGGATTGACTTCAGCCCGTAAGCTTACTGTAGCTACAAGTCTGGCCTATTTGTAATTTTATTAGAAAATTTGACGATTGCAACAATAACAATGTTGTCTTCTGTATCATATAAGTATGAAATTTTTTGGTGTGATAAGTGTCAAATAGTTAACCAAGCATTGCAATCATTGAAATTGTAGGGTAATTATTTATTTTCTTCATAGTTATTTATTTAACGAGTATATCAAAAACAAAAAAAAAAGAAAAAAAGAATAAATAAAATATTCAAAAATGAAAACATTATTAATGCTAAGTGGAATTACTTCAATTATGATTATTTAAAATTAAAATTAAAAATATATTTATTTAATATAAGTTTTGAGTACCTATTATGACTTTCACCGTTTATTAACTACTAATGTTAGAGTTCAGTTCATCAGTAATAAAACACAATAATCAGTAGTTGAAATCAACATATTTTTCTATAGTCAAAAACGCGTAACTCTTGTCTTCAACTTGTCTATATTATTAATTGCAATATTATTGTATAATGTCTTTATTTATCACATAATTTTCTATGAACCCAGAGGTTTAATTTACATACGCTGAACGGCAGAAAAATTGGTAATAAGTGTATTTTATTGCTGGAACTGCAGAGACATCAATGGCACCGAACCTTTGCATTTTCCTGTTCGGCTGGTTAACAATTCATAGCAACAAGCCATAAACAACTTCGGCAACAACATTTACAACAATTTTTAAACGCTTTTAATAGTTATTGCCAATTTGCCCCTAAAAGGCTTATATATTTTCCACAGCTCAGTACGTCTCTAAATTACGCATACTTAAGACCTAAATTATTACCTGTCATTTAATACCAAATACCGAAACTGAATGCCGCGGACCGAATACTACAAAACACTCGTAGCACAGAAAGCAGAAACAATGATTTAAAAATGCCATAAAAAGAGTTTTCCGAAAAAAGAAAATATCTACAAAAAGTCAAAAACAAAAAAAAACAAACGATAAAATAAGGAAAAATAAAAGAAAACTAAATGAGCAAACAAGTTTGTGAGGCTTTGTGAGTAGGTGCTGCGGGCTAATATTTACAGAACCTGCAACGAATGACGGTAAGTTATGTTGCGCGCACAATGCACCGAACACTGACTGAACATACTACACAAGCTATGCTCAGCTCACTCAGCAGCTGAGACTGATGCTAAGTTTGGTTTGTGAAATTGACTATATCAATTGACTAGATTTGTGGTTGTTGTTGCTTTTGGTATTTTATTAATATTATAGTTTGTTGAAATAATAAGAATTGTAAATGTGCCATATAAGGTTGCAACATAAATACATTGACGTAGTAACAAAGGCCATAACTGCTGGCACAAACGTGGTGAACCGATCTATATAGAATGAAGGCATTATGCGTGACTGTTAAGTCGTTAGGAGTTCAAATATAAAAATGCGTAAAAATCTCACAAATCGTAACGATGAATGCGATGCTTTGCAATTTAGGATTTTTTCTTATTTATGAATTAGTAGACTTTTTTTTGATCGTTGTTGATTGAGTAGAGGAAATGAAAAGTCAACGCAGGGCAAATGTTAAAACTGACATTAGACTGACCACAAAGGCGAAATGGGAAGAAAATAATTGAAAAAAGCTAAGAAAAGCAAATGAAAACGACGTTCGGAATGATGCGAAAATGTTTGTAATCAACTTCGTTCAATGATGCAAAATCATACACATTAAGTGCAGCGGCAACGAACTCGCCATACACAATGCGCTGCGCATGCGCTCCTACTGCTGCTGCTCTTACTGCTTTGCAGTGATCGAGGTTTCTTTGTGTCGTAGGTTCTAGAGATCAGTGAAAACTATAGCCAACTAGCGATCGTCGAGTATCGATTGTTGCTATTAAAAATTTTATATTGGCGCGCAACAATGCAGCGCTGGCAAATGCAAACGTGCAGCAATTTTCGGTTTTATTTTATTTTTTATTTTTTTTTCTGCCTTATACACTCGTAAATAAGTAAGAACAGATTGGAGTAGAAAATAAAAAACAAAATAGATGAGAAATAAATTAATAAAAAAAATTGGAAAAATTCATTGAATTTTGCTTCGAGCGCGTCTTAGTCGTGTGTGTTGGCTTTTTATTTTAATTTTATTTTTTTCCTTGCTGGCAACTGCCACATATAGCGGCGGTCCACTCCATAAGACTGGAATAAGACTGGCTTTCATCGTTGCAAGCATGATAGCTGCTGGACTTGATTTCGTTGATCGTTTGCTGTGGTTATGGCTATTGATGCTGCTGCAGCAGCCGTTGTTGCTGCTGCGATTGTTGTTGCAACAGTTGAGGTTGAGGCTAATCAATTTTTATTTTCATTTTAATGGTGTTTTTGTTGTTGTTTTTGTTATTGCTGTTGCTGTTGTTGTTGTTGTTGTTGTGGTTTATCAACGCTTTATTACATTGACGTTTTGTCAATTTGATTGCTTTTGATTTTCGCCCAAAGTTGTCTACATCAACCACAACAGCAATATCGTCGAAAGCAGCAATTGCAACAAGTTTATTGACGCAATGAATTGCAGAAAAGAGCTTATTTGTTGTCGATGTTGTCGATGTTGTTACATTTTGTTTAGTTAATGGATTTCATTGAATATCGCTCACATTTAATTCCTTTATTCTGTCTTTATTTGTTTATGTTGATTTTGTGTGAGACCTTGAAATAGTTTATTACTGCCGGAGCCAAATTCGAAGTTATTCTTGTTGATTGTTTTAAGTTGGCAACAATGAATTCATTCATTTTCGATAATTGGTTTATTGCCTGTTGGCAACTTTTTTTACCTTCGAGTAGTGAATTAAATCATTTTTTCAAAATTTAAAAGCATCGGTTTTAAAAGCAAACACTATATTTAAAAAATTTGTTGCAATATTTTAATTAAATTATTTTGGAAAAAATTTTAAAAAAGGTTTTTTAATGTTCTTATGCACTTTGCAACATGATAATGATAAAATAATGATTTTAGCGTATAGTACATTCAAAAGAAAGTTTATTTACTATTATAATATTTACTACACATTTGAGCAAGGTTTTTGTACATAATACATTCATTTATTTATTTTTAAGTAAACTTTTATTATAATAATAATTTGTAGAATATCTAAATACAAAATAAAGGGTCAAAATTGATATCCAATAAATTTATGTCATAAGCTGACATCGTTTAAATGGAAATGTAGAGTTATTCTCCTCTACTTTTTCTTTAACAACACTATTTTCTCTAAATCACTAATGCAAGTTTTAATCTTTTTAAATTGCTTAGTTTTTGATTACTAGATTAACCTTTTCAGCATTCACGTAAATCTATTTTCAATTCATTAGTATAAGTTGGTTTTAGTGGATTCAATTTTAATGCTGTGGTTTTGAATCTTGATACCTTATTCAAAAAAATAAAAATAATTTTAAAATATTAACAACTAAACAGTTGATCTTTACATTGTACCATAGAGGATCGACATCCGAAAAAACTGGAAAGGGGCTGACAGAAAAAGTGCATTAAAGTCATAAGTAATGCTGTTGTTTTTTCTAGCAAATTTTTTTTAATAGATCACAAAACTTAAATGAGGGTTTGTTTTCCGTACTTAGAGAAGTAAGAAATAAAAATGGCATTAATCTAATCATAGAGTAAGGTAACATAAAATTAGCTGAAACTATAAGTTCGTTTAAGAGCTATTTAAAATTAATTAAAAAATTTCCTAATAAGGAAACCATTAAAAGTCTTCCATTTTGCCAACTGAAAGAGACTGTCGTTTACATTATGTTGAATTTCGCAAGCTTACAAAGGTGCAAAACCACCTTAAGCGACATAAATTTGATCTTTATATATAAAATCACTTTGTGCCTATACAATTTTATAATTTTCTAATGTATAATGCCACATTAGAACTAAATAAGTATAATTAAAATAATTTAACTCAGAATAAAAATTTTTTAACACTTTTAGTTAACAACTCTAATTCTTTTGGGATATAAAATACAATTTAACTACTTTTAAGTTCTCTATAAACAATTTTTTTTATACTTTTGAAATAATTTTTATCTATACTTTTGAAGCAATTAACATTCCTGCAATTTTTTTAAAGTGAAAGTGGTGTCTAACGAATGGACTCTATCTTTAGTACTTAATCAGTTCTTGCAAATTAAGAGAACAAAAATTCTATACTAAAAATAAACAATTGCTCCTCTGTTTTAAACCAGTTTACTATTTCAAAAACTCATGTTATTCTATCTCAAGTAATTTAAAAATGTATCTAAACTCATAATTAAAAATTTAATAAG